AAAGAGGATCAGACTCAGAAAAACAACATTGTGGTGTTGTGATGCAAGCCCCATCCTTTCTACATATGTTATGATCTTGCTTGAATAGCCAGAAGGGGCAGAGCTTGCAGCACCGATACTAGTTTTGTCATTATGACAAAAGCAGCCAAATCCTGCAGACACCACTAAATGCTACTTTGCTTTGTCCTTTCCATTCCTCTACTGTTGGAAATTTTGAGGACTATATTAATTTCTACAATGGTATGATTAGTATAGGATTACCTATACAGATGTGATGATCAAATTAGAGTGAAATAGCTTAATTTTAGGCAGGAAAAGATGGCATTGTTATATAATTGTGTATACTATAATAAGATGAATTTAGCTAGTTCTCCTTTAAAATGATTGAAAGATTAGGAATTGAGTCAGCCAGTATTGCAAGAAGTCTGTTGAATGAATTTTAGCTTACTAAGCAAATCACTAAAATTGAGCCTGATATAAACTCTTATTTTGAAACCTGATATAGTGTTTCTCAACTGTAATGTGAAAACAATACATTTATAGACCAGTGAAACATTAGTTTGGCTCTGAAATAAATTTTCCACCCAGTTTGGAGCCAGGCACATTTGCTTAACATTTTCACTGCTCTGCTAGTGATTGTTGTGAGATTGGGAGTTATGGATATTCCCTTATGATCCTTTTTAAAGATTTTAATGCCAAGTTTGTGGAATAATTTGTATAAAAAGTGCTGTTATACTTGCTTATATTCTCCATTCGTTGGCCGAAGAAGTTAAACCAGCATCATAGAACTAAGAATTGTTCAAAGGCATAAGTGTTCAAAGGCCTGGGCATCTGAAGGATACGGGGAACAAATGACATGATGTGTACTTGCATCAGAGGTCACGATGCAAATTACGGATTGTGTTATGACACATGTATCATTCTGACATCACTGAGACTTGTTATGGACACTGCAACTGTATGGTAATCTTATCAGCACTCCTACAGTGGTAGAACTGTGTTGGTAGACTTGAACACCTATTGACCCATATGCAGGCAATTGCCAGGCAGTATTTTTCTTCCCCTTCATATCTAATGACAAACAATTAGCTACCAAACCGTCCTAGGTTAGATATAGACATTTTTATACATACTTTCGATGGTATGTAGGAATGACCTTGGGAGAGACGCTGCCTAGGGAACGGTCAGATAAGAGACAGCATGCTCCGCAGCTGGATAGTGGCCATGGGGCAAAGAGACCCTCCCTAATTTCTCAGCGTATAAAGGAGATGGGGAGAATTGTACTTTCAGACTTGCAAGATTCTGTTAATGTAGCCTTACAGTAAAGTAGAATTAGCTCATCTGGTTGTGTTTTCTGTATGGTCCATCTGGTAAGGCTGACAGCACTTCAAAAATGAACCAAGAGTTTGATGTGTGGAACGTTCCTTATCAGTGTAAATGATTACGTCTTCTGGTATGATAGAATTAAAAGTACATATTTTCATTTGAAGATCCCCTTGCTGTTTCATAGATGTCTGTGTAAGAACATACACACTTGACTAGATTAATATATAATACCCATAAAACATAGTTTAGAGACAATAGTAGCTGGATTCCTGTACAGGTAGCCCTTGTTTAGGAACTGCCTCAGACAGCGACCATTCACAGTTACAAAGGTGATGAAAAAGTAACTTTGTGACCAGTGCCCACATTTATGACCTTTGCAGCATCTCTTTCTCAGTCACGTGTTTGCCACTGCAGTCAGTTAGTACACATGGTCCTGTGCCTGACCCGTTTTTTTCCCTCCCCCCTCCCACAGAGCAGAGAGATTGCCTAAAGAAGCTGTCTCTTCCTGAGCTGCTTTTCTCTGCAGTGCAGCAGGTCCCTAAAAAGTGCTAACCACAAGTTAACAAGGTCAGCTCTGTGACCTTAATTAGTTGATTATTAGCTGAATTAGTTGAACCCTCAGGCCTGCTAGGGCTGCTGCCTGATACTAACAAGACTCTAATCAGTTTCACACTAAAGGCTTTTGTTTGCCTAAGTGGCTTGTGTCTCGCAGTTCCAAGCATGCTAGGCAACTAGGCAGCGCTAGCCCATTCCTTTCTATGAGTATTCCCCATTGTGTGCTTGCTTACTCTCTTGTAATCCCTTCCTCTCCAATGAATGTAACTACAAACATTAATTTTCTTCTTGCTAATTATCTCAGCGCTGGGGTGAGCATTCCAAAGGGCGGGGGAGTGGGGGGAAAGGGCTATAAGATTTGTCCTTTTACCCAGCTTCCTCATGAGTTGAGCTCCGGAAACCTTCCCTGTTGTTTGGGTTCACCTGGCTGTGTATAAAAAAATTTACTTCAGGAAAGCTGAAGTAACACTGTAAGCATAGTTGCAGTCATGTGATTTTCACTTAGCAACCACTTTACTTAATGACTGAGTTGCCAGAACCAATTGCAGTTGCTGAACAAGGACTACCTGTATTGTACTAAGCCAAAAACAAGGACTACAGTTAGTGTGATGTATGAACCTTGGCGGTGTCCAAATGCAGTTTTGAAATTATGTTATCCATTTTTTCTCCATCCATATTCTACATTATTCTGAGGAATTTGCAATTACTATATTGGAGAAACAGAGGAAGGGGAGATACAGTAGAATACAGTGGTACCTCGGGTCACGAACTTAATTCATTCCGCGACTCTGGTCGTGACCCGAATTGTAGAATACAGTGGTACCTCGGGTCACGAACTTAATTCATTCCGCGACTCTGGTCGTGACCCGAATTGGTCGCAACCCGAATCAAATTTTCCCATAAGGTTCAATGTAAATACGGTTAATCCACTCTGACCCCTACGAATTTGGTCGCCAACTGATTTTGGTTGT